TACTAATCCATCAATGGATGCTTGGGTTGCTGTCACCTTTTGGCTATTGTGAATAATGCTGCTATGAACACTGGTGTACAAATATCTGTTTGCATCCCTGCTCTCAATTATTTTAGGTATATACTCAGAAGTGGAATTGGTAGATCATATGGTAATTTTGTAATTTTTGGAGTCACTGCCATACTGTTCATAGTGGCTACATTTTACATTTCTACCAGCAATGGACAAGGATTTTGGTTTTCCACATCCACACTAACAATTGTTATTTTCTATTAAAAAAAAAAAATAGTCATTTTGGTCAGCCAAGCTGGCTCGCCCCTGTAATCCCAGCACTTTGGGAGGCCGAGGCAGGAGGATTGCTTAAGCCTAGGAGTTCACGATCAGCCTGAGCAACATATTGAGACTCGCCTCCCAACCCTTCCCACCCCTTCTCTATTTAAAATAATAATAGTCATCTTAATGGGTGTGAAGTGGTATCTCATCGTGGTTTTGATTTGCATTCCTCTAATGATTAGTGGTACTGAGCATTTTTCACATGCTCATTAGATCTTACTTCAATCTCTGGCTCTTGCTGGCTTTCTCTGATGCCGCTCTGGCAGGGGAAGGACAGCACGGCCTCCCTACTGCCAGCAGGGGGTGGAAGTCCAGATTTCTCACTCACACCAGAGGGGATGATCCTTGTTACTGCTGGGTGGGGGCTGGAGTTCCTCATGTGGTCTCCACCGACACTACAATGAGGTGGTCTCATGACCCCTGTGCGATAAAGTCCTGATTTCCCAGCAGGCCTTCTATGACACCACCTTAGTGGGATCTGAAGGATCACCTTTGTTCCTGCCCGGTGGGCCTGGAAGTTGAAGCTACTCCGTGGTCTCCTCTGACAATGTGGTAGTGGTAGTGGCGGGGCTCTGGGGGTGGAGGTTGTCAGAGAACCTCATTACAGCCTCCCAAGGGTAGAATCATGGGCTCTTCAGTTGGCTTTTGCTGGCATGGGTGTGGGTAGGACCACAGCTGTTTCTGTGGTATTTAGCTGAAATAATGGAATTACTGTCTAAAACTTTTCTATCTTCCTAGAATGCCTCTGTCCTGGGTAGAGAAAGCAGCCTTTTGCTGGGGCTTTTCTTGTCTATGCCTGTTGGCTTTTCTGGGTTGCTAGCTTCTTCAGTTTCAACTCAGGATGGGTGAAGCAAGAAGAAAACCCAGGGAATTCACTATCACGTGTATCTTGAGATTCCTACCTGTCTGCCTTCTTTTCCCCACCTCCCAGAGTCTTCTCGTGTTTGCTTTATATGTAATGTCCAGGGTGTTTAGTTGCACTTAGTAGGAGGAACAGGAAACATTTTGTCTACTCCATCTTTCTAGAAGTAGAAGTAGACCTCATTGTTTTTAATGACTAATACACAGCATACAATTTACTAACCCATCTCCTTTTGACAGCCATTTAGGTTGTTTATAGTTTTATTATTTCAATAGTTTTTTTTTCCTACTAAAATAATGAAGGGCTGGGTGCGGTGACTCATGCCTATAATCCCAGCACTTTGGGAGGCCAAGGCAGGTGGATCACCTGAAGTCAGGAGTTCGAGACCAGCCCGGCCGACATGGTGCAACCCCATCTCTACTAAAATACAAAAATTAGCTGGGTGTGGTGGCGTGCACCTGTAATCCCAGCTACTTGGGAGGATGAAACAGGAGAACCACTTGAATCTGGGAGGTGGAGGTTGCAGTGAGCCAAATCGCACCATTTGCGCTCCAGCCTGGGCAACAGAGAGAGACTCTGTCTCAAAAAACAAAAACAAACAAACAAACAAACAAAAAGAGAAAAGAAAAAAAAATAGAGGAAAAACTTTTTACCTAAAGTATGATTTCCATTATGTTTAAAAATAAACAGACATTCTTGGGATTGGTGATTGTTTTCTTTTTTGTCATTTCCAAAAAATAATATAACTATTACTTTTAATGAACTATATAGGAATATATATAGTTTATATATATACACATATATAAACTTTATCTCATATATATGGTAAAGATGAAAGATGAGGCCAGGCGTGTTATGAGAATTAAAAGAGATAAATTCTTGACCGGGCATGGTGACTCACGCCTATAATTGCAGCACTTTGGGAGGCCGAGGCAGGCAGATCACCTGAGGTCAGGAGTTTGAGACCAGTCTGACCAACATGGAGAAACCCCGTCTCTACTAAAAATACAAAATTAGCTGGGCATGGTGGTGGATGCCTGTAATCATAGCTACTCGGGAGGCTGAGGCAGGAGAATCACTTGAACCCGGGAGGCAGAGGCTGAGGTGAGCCGAAATTGCACCACTGTACTGCAGCCTGGGCAACAAGAGCGAAACTGTCTCAAAAAGAAAACAAACAAGCATGAAAGGTGAGTTGGTTGTGTCACATGAAGAGGGCAGTATAGAGCCCCAGGTAATGGGGCATGGGAGTCGGATTCCAGATACCAGGCCTACATTTTAGGGGTGAGATTGCCAATCAAGGTCTTTCTTCCATCCCTCACAGAGGTGTAGGTTTGTCCTGAGGACAAACCTAATCCTGGAGACTTCATGTAATCCAGAAGAGACATGCAAATTGATGAAAAACAGTGATTTTTTTCTTCTTTGAGACAGAGTCTTGCTCTGTCACCCAGGCTGGAATGCAGTGGCGTGATCTCCTCAAACTGCAACCTCCACCTCCTGAGTTCAAGCCATTTGGCCTCCCAAAGTGCTGGGATTACAGGTGTGAGTCACCATGCCTGGCCAAAATATTGAATCTTTGAGGTAAAATAAAGATGTTGCCCAGGCTGGAGTGCCACAATCATGCCATTGTACCCTCTGTCTCCCAGATTCAAGTGATTATCCTGCTTTCCTGCCTCAGCCTCCCGAGTAGCTGGGACCACAGGTGTGTGCCACCATGCCCAGCTAATTTTTGTATTTTTGGAGAGATGGGGTTTCACCATGTTGGCCTCGCTGGTCTCAAACTACTAATCTCAAGTGATCCGCCCACCTCAGCCTCCCAGAGGGCTGGAATTACAGGCCTGAGCCACTGCTCCCAACCTTAATTTTTCAAAATAAAAAGCTGGCCCCACCTCAGTTCAGATCCAGTGAATCTGGGTGAGAGGGCAGAGTCCACAAGTATCTGTATTTCAAATAGATGTTCCCATTGATTTTTATGCATACCACAGTTTCTGATCACCTGATTTGAAGTACAGCAATGTACTTTTATTTCAGTCTTCCTCTATAAAGGTAGAAAAACTTCTGTATCTTGGCTACACAATAGAGTTTAATAACCTTGGATCAGTGGATTCAAACCTAGTTCTTAGCTAGTTTAAAAGTCCTTCCGTGGTCCTCCTCAGTTTTCTCCATTTTCTTCAACTCTGTTAATATCTTTACCTATCTTCATGCAAATTATTATTATTATTATTTTGAGACATAATCTTTCTCTGTCGCCTAGGTTGGAGTGCAGTGGTGGGATCCCAGCTCACTGCAACCTCCGCCTCCCGAATTCAAGTGATTCTCTTGCCTGAGTACTTGGGATTACAGGTGTGCACTGCCACAGCTGGCTAATTTTTGTATATACATATATATATTTTTTTTCCCGAGACGGAGTCTCGCTCTGTCACCCAGGCTAGAGTGCAGTGGCACAATCTCGGCTCACCGCAACCTCCGCCTCCCGGGTTCAAGCAATTCTCCTGCCTCAGCCTCCCAAGTAGCTGGGATTGCAGGCGTACGCCACCACGTCAGATTGATTTTTGTATTTTTACTAGAGAGGGAGTTTCACCGGGTTGGCCAGGCTGGCCACGAACTCCTGACCTCAAGTGACCTGCCCGCCTTGGCCTCCCAAAGTGTTGGGATTAGGTGTGAGCCACCACACCTGGCCTAATTTTTATATTTTTAGTAGAGACTGGATTTCTCCATGTATGCCAGGCTGGTCTCGAACTCCTAATCTCGGTTGTTCGGCTCACCTCGGCCTTCTAAAGTGCTGGGATCACAGGCGTGAGCCATCACACCCAACCACAAATGTTTTCTAAGTTATAGTGTAAGAACACGGCAGTAAATGCCACCCTCCAAATTGCGTCAGGGGTCACAGGCAAGCAGAACCTAGCCTCTAATTTCCTCAAAAACTGTGTAATAAAAAGAAGTTACAGAGATTATCCCGGGTTTGCCAAAAAGGAAAAGAAAAAAAAAAAAAAAAAGAGGTGAGTAGCACCAACATCTCCATCCAGCTCCAGGCAGTTCTTTTTTCTTTTCTTTTTTCTTTCTTTTTCCTCCCTCCCTCCCTTCCTTCCTTCCTTCCTCCCGGTGGAGTCTTGCTCTGTCACCCAGGCTGGAGTGCAGTGGCACCATCTCTGCTCACGGCAACCTCCGCCTCCCGGGTTCAGGCTGGAGTGCAATCTCCACCTCCCGTGTTCAAGCGATTCTCCTGCCTCAGCCTCCAGAGTAGCTGGGACTACAGGCGCCCACCAACTCACCCAGCTAATTTTTGTACTTTCAGTAGAGACGGGGTTTCACCATGTTGGCCAGGATGATCTCGATCTCCTGACCTCGTGATCTGCCCATCTCGGCCTCCCAAAGTGCTGGGATTACAGGCATGAACCACCGCGCCTGGTTGAATGCATATTCTTTTAAGGTTTTGTTATTGTTTTTCCATGTAGCACTGACAGATTTGTACTAATTCTTTGCTTCTCTGGTTGCTAATTGGCTTTAGAATTGTTAGCTGATGCTCTTGAAGACCAAAACGAAACTACCTTAGTTGGCTTAGATATGGAAATAATCTGAGTTTTAGGATTATTTGCAGTATAAATGGTTTCAAACACCAAAGTTTGACAAAGAAGCATTTATAGTCCACTGAGAAGGCTATCTAATTTCAGATTCCAGGTAAGCAGAATCACCTAAATTTAAAAGAGCACGCTCTGTGTTGATATGCAAAACTTTGTTAAAGTATACGTTTTGATCTTTAATTCATTTATTAGTTACTAATGTTTACTATTTAGTAAGCACAGGCAAATGTGGTAAGCACTGCACTTATTAGGAATACACTGTAAGGTTACAGACAGTGTGGGTGTGGATTTTGACTGTATTTGAAGTTTTCTTACCTTGAAACTTACTCAGCACTTGCAAACCTATACCACAGAGTTTAGCCCTTACTTCTTCTTAAGAGGCTTGAAAATCCTCCACAGCATCTAGTGTAGTGCTAATCCTAAAGAAAACAACCAACAATTAAGTGTTAATTGTTGATTGGTATCACCCTGTGACCAACTGTTTTCACCCAAGTGAAACCAAACGGTTGGTCACTTTTTTGATTTAGTGTATTTTTCAATTTCTTACATCTCAGGATAGTTTTAGTAGATTTTGGAAGAGACAACAAGGATCTCTGACAACCATCATTCTCAGAAAATGTCTGGCATCACCTCAAATATGGCTTTCGAACATTACAGAGGAATGAATGAGGAGCAGTACCAATAGACTGAAGGCCAGGCCCACTTTGCCATTTTGGTATTCTTCATCTTTGTCCCAATTCCTGGCACGATAAGAATTTTCAAATGAATAAATAATTTTCGTATTAAAATAGTATTTAGAACCAAATATCTTCTATAATACAGAAAATTGAGTCAGCTTTCCCAGTAATGATTCTTTAAGTTGGCCTTCTGAAATATGATAAAATGTTTCCCAGATATTCTCGATATTTTGCACCATGGGTAGGGTTGTATTTTAAAGTTAAACGACTACATATATTGTTTTTTTGTTGCTGTGAAGGGACCTGAGATGGGGCTAATTGAAAACATCTGGAGATTAAAGACTCGTGCAGTTTACGCAGCAAGGATATTATTGCTCTGAATTTCAATAAATCAACATTTCACTATATATCGGTAAAGCTCAAAGCCCTTAAAAAATGACCAATATAGACGGAATCAACACCGATGTAGTCCCAAAGCGGCACAGAGGTGTATCTGCCAAAGCGTCCATTTAAATTCGTGCGTTCCACGGAAAATTACTGCTCCTTAGCTTCTATCCATTTGCAAAAGTTTATGATTTTTTTCAGGCATTCCTCACACCTGTTAGGTTAAAATCATTAACACTCTTTTAAAAAGAAAGCGAGAGACCGGAAACGATATGAGAATAGAATTGGCTACTCCAGAGACATCTGCAAATGACACTCCATTTTTTTTTTTCTCGCTGCAAAATGTACCGGTAAACCAAACTTTCCGGGACTCGCTGGGTGGCCGACATTTTCCCTAGCAGGAATTTTACGTTTCCAAGATCTGAATGGATGTTAATGGTCGGGCTAAATGCCAGGCAGGTCTTCACTGTCAAATTAAACAGCGGTGGGAGCAAGTGGAATAACCGAGTTCCCCTCCCGCACCTGAGCGCCGGCAGCGAGCCGCGAGTCCGGACCCCTCGCACGCGGGAAGACCCAGACGCCCGGCGGGCAGTGTCTCCGGCTTCCGCCTCCGGCTCCGGCTCCGGCTCCGGCTCCACTCCCCCGGCCCGCCTCTGCGTCAGGGACGCGGAAACCCCGTAGGAGCAGGGCGGGCGGGGAAAGTGGTGTTTGACTAACGCCGCAGCGATATTCTTCCGCCGCGAGGTAAAGAGTCCCAACCCAACCCCGGGCCCTAGGATTTCCAGCGACCCTATAATATCGAGAAATTACCACATTTGGATTTTCCAACCGGCTTGCTTAGGATTTTATCCGACGTAACGACCCCAGGATCACAATTTTGTGGCTGACCGAAGCACGGCGAGAAAATTCCTCCGCAAGAAACGGGTTCCGGCCACGAGCCTATAAAAAACGGGTGGCGGGGCGCTGCTGTCTTTTCAGTCGGGCGCTGAGTGGTTTTTCGGATCATGTCTGGTGGCTCCGCGGATTATAACAGGTATGGCGCTCTGTTGGCGGTCGCGGTCTGTAGTGAAGGTCGTAGGGCGCCAGGAGAGATTATAGTGGATGGCATGGAGGCAAAAACTCCAACTTAGTGCACGTTTCCTTAGGGTACAGCACCCCTGTGCCCTTCCAGAAGCTTCCATGATGGGTAGGGCCCGGATTGTGGGGAGACAGGACGATGGTGCGAAAGCAGTGGCTAAAGGGCGTTTCTCCTCCCTAAGACATTACGGAATTTTGGCTGCTTCCCCTCCCAGTGTAGAGCACGGGAAACATGCAATAAACAGCCGTGGCGCAGTCCGCGTTCGGTACAGTGTAACCGGGACCCGAAGCTTTATTTTTGATCAACCACAGGAGTTGGGGGTCCTTGGCTTCAGTTGGGGAAGGGTTGGAGGCAGCGGTCTCCACTCGGCCACGGCGCGGAGGCCATGGGACCGGACCGGCACGGCTGCCGGCGAACCGTTGGCATCGCTCTCGCCAGGCCGCTCCGCCCGCGTCAATCACCCGGCTTGCGCATTGTTGGGGGCGGAGCTCGTCGCCCCGAGCTCTCGCGAGACGCGCCGCCGCCGAAACGGGATCCCCATGCGCTGGGGCCTGAGGGGCTGCCTTTCCGGACATCCGCGGCCCCCAACCTTTAGGGAAGGCGCGCAGTGTGATATTCGTCCTGCAGCTGCTGCTTTAACTTGTGCAGGGGAGGCTAATGTGCTGAGACGGGTTGCAAAGGGCTATCCCTTTAAGATGCAGTTAAGGTGACTTGGAAGGGATGTCTGACTGCAGTATTCTTGTCAGCAGAGAACATGGCGGCCCAGAGGGAATGGACCCCGATGGTGTCATCGAGGTAAGAAACGATTGTGGATGTTGAAGCTTTGAAAAGGTGAATGTGTTCATCTCATTCATGCGTGCATTATTTTTTCTAACTTACAGAGCAACTGGAATGAGATTGTTGATAACTTTGATGATATGAATTTAAAGGAGTCTCTTCTTCGTGGCATCTATGCTTACGGTTTTGAGAAGCCTTCCGCTATTCAGCAGAGAGCTATTATTCCCTGTATTAAAGGTAAAAGAAACTGGAATTTTTAGGAAATGACTTTATTCTAGATAGTCATGGACCGTAAAAGGGAAAGTAACCTCTGGGGGACTAGCACCTGTTTGTATTCCTTAAAGTGAAATGATGGCAATCATCTTTCGGGACTGACCTGAAATGAAGAGAATACTCATTGCTGATCACTTATTATTTGGGCATAATTCATGTTCCAAATGGAATACATGGTGTGAAGTAGAAGTGACAATTTGATGTGGGATCGGTAAATATGTATCCTACTTTTTTTAGGGTATGATGTGATTGCTCAAGCTCAGTCAGGTACTGGCAAGACAGCCACATTTGCTATTTCCATCCTGCAACAGTTGGAGATTGAGTTCAAGGAGACCCAAGCACTAGTATTGGCCCCCACCAGAGAACTGGCTCAACAGGTATTGATAGTGTAGTTCAAAAAAACTGCTTGCGTGTTGCATAGGTTTCAGGTTTCACAACTGTGAAGAATTTAAAACTTAGTATAAATTGGTCCTACCAGATCCTTCCTTTTAATTGTCCATGCATGCAGGGAGTTTTCGTTGAAAGCTTTAAAAGAACTGGGTATGCAGGTATGGTTTGTAGGGTTGTATACTAATAGATTGAGAATCCGAAACACTCTCTTGGATGTACTAGATCTGTCCCCATTTTTTAAGTTTGAATGCAGTTGTGCAACATGAAAACTGCAGTGACATGTTACCATTTGACTGTCTCCGTAGTTTGTGATGCATCTGTTGCATGCTATGTTTTCAAAGCTCACTGCTATATTGGCTTTGAAGTAGACCTTCCTAATAAAGCTGGAGGCTTTATTGAGGTCAAGATTATATAAAGCACAATACCCTCTGGGGGAAAAAAATTCTTTGCCCTAGCTGTAATTACAGAACATATATTTCACTATGTACTCCCTACACACAGTGAAGAATAATGTAGGAAATGTTATTCTTGAATTGTCTAGCTGATGCGTGGGGCAGCAGCATCCCAAGTTTGACAAGGCAGAAGAAAGACATTAAGGGAGTTTTACCTTGAAGCAGTTAGGTCAGTCTGCGTTTTAAGCTTGGAAGTAGTTTCGTGCTGTGCATGCATAAAAGCTGTTGGCAGACCAGTTTAAATTTGCCATTATGCTTTAAAAAGTAGTCATTGATCCTGGAGTTCTTCAGGATAATAATTAAGGCTTGGTTTTTAGATCCAAAAGGTAATTCTGGCACTTGGAGACTATATGGGAGCAACTTGTCATGCCTGCATTGGTGGAACAAATGTTCGAAATGAAATGCAAAAACTGCAGGCTGAAGCACCACATATTGTTGTTGGTACACCTGGGAGAGTTTTTGATATGTTAAACAGAAGATATCTTTGTAAGTATTGTCTTTAAAAGAGTTTTTTTTTTTTTTTTTTTTTTTTTTTACTGTTACAGTTGAAAAGTCATCATATTACTGAGTAGATCTAGAAGTGACAGTATGACTTTGTTTCTAACAGCTCCAAAATGGATCAAAATGTTTGTTTTGGATGAAGCAGATGAAATGTTGAGCCGTGGGTTTAAGGATCAAATCTATGAGATTTTCCAAAAACTAAACACAAGTATTCAGGTAAGCATTACTTCACTCCCCTCTTAAAGGTAGAGATGGGGTTTAATGCAGGTACTGTTACAATACAACTGACGTGTTTTATTGTCGTTCCCCCTGCTTAAAGCACTTGATGCATGACTATCTCTGTCTAACTCCATTCTGTAGTAAGACAGAGACGCTTGGCTTCAAACATTTTCCCTTGGGTATTACTGTGTAAGTTGTGCCACAACATAATTTTCTCTTTTCAAGGTTGTGTTGCTTTCTGCCACAATGCCAACGGATGTGTTGGAAGTGACCAAAAAATTCATGAGAGATCCAATTCGAATTCTGGTGAAAAAGGAAGAATTGACCCTTGAAGGAATCAAACAGTTTTATATTAATGTTGAGAGAGAGGTAACTGATTGTTAGACATTATTTTACCTTCTTGTATAAGCACTGTGCTAAAATTGCAGACACTAGGACTATGTCTTGGTTTTTGCAATAATGCTAGCAGAGTACACACAAGAAGAAAAGTAACAGCACTAGATTGTAAAGACTGGGGTGGACCTCTTTCTTAATGTCCAATGTCCTTTGTCTTAAGATTTGGTGCAATATCTCATTAGACCTAATAGAATGAAGTTAATTTTTATAATTTCTACGTTTTGTGACTGGCTAAGAGGGGCCAATTTTGGTATTTTGGGTAGAGACAGGGTTTCGCTATCTGGAAACTGGTTGGAACTCCTGGGCTCAAGTGTTGGGATCCCGAAGTGCTGGGATTATGGGCATAAGCACTGTGCCTGGCCCAGAATGAATTTTTAACTGAAGAAAGTTGGAAAAGCTAAATGTTAACTTTCTCTTCTAAACATTATAGGAATGGAAGTTGGATACACTTTGTGACTTGTACGAGACACTGACCATTACGCAAGCTGTTATTTTTCTCAATACAAGGCGCAAGGTGGACTGGCTGACTGAGAAAATGCATGCCAGAGACTTCACAGTTTCTGCTCTGGTAAGAGGTGTTCTAAAATGTCTGGATTTCCACTAAAGCAGGATTCAGACTACAATATAGCTGCTAAGTGCTGTGTTGTCGTTCCCCCTGCTCAAAATAAAGTTGTTTCTTAACTATACCTGTCTGCTATATTCCTGTAGCAGCCAGGGACGCTTGGTCTCATACATGTTGATTAAAATTACTGACCTGACTGGTGATTCTTGAATTAAGGTTTATTAATTTGCAGCATGGTGACATGGACCAGAAGGAGAGAGATGTTATCATGAGGGAATTCCGGTCAGGGTCAAGTCGTGTTCTGATCACTACTGACTTGTTGGTAAGTCTCTTAATGCTTTTTAAAAATCTACCAAAAGTTAGCTTTTTGGGGGGAAGGTTTTTAAGTAACCTTTGCCAACCTGGGCTATTTGGAAGAGTAAAAGGACCACACTCCACAGTGGGCTATACCACTTAGTATAGTTCGCTACTATTTTGTGGCCTACATGACAGGTATCACGTTTTTTGAATTAGAATTTTTAACATATGCCATTGTGTTTCAGGCTCGCGGGATTGATGTGCAACAAGTGTCTTTGGTTATAAATTATGATCTACCTACCAATCGTGAAAACTATATTCACAGGTGAGAAGCTAGCATCTTGGATGTATTGAAAAAAAATTCATACATTTTTCTACTGTGATTTGTATGAAAGGTAACATCAAATCAAAGAATAGATTCAGTCAAGTCAGTAGTGTTCAGTAAGATGATGTAATTAAATTTGTACTAAGGGAAGGCTGACGAGAACAAAGTGGGAAAACTTGTAAACATTGCTCAGATTGTGGGCATAGGTTTTTTTTTTCCCCCGCAATTGTTGGTCTTAGCTTATGCTTGAGCTTTTAGTGATGTTCTTGTGTCCATGTGCTTTTTCTTGATTTTTTCCATAGTTGGGATTTTCTTGGTGTCGCCTGGTAGCAATTTGAGTGAACCCTGGTTTAGTTATAGTGGCTTTATCCCTAAATAAATTGAATCGTACTTTGTTATGTGATGTAAAAAAAGACTTTTTAAAAAATACAGGAGTCGATAGCAGCAGTTGATGACGAGATGGCACTCAGAAACGGCGTTGACGTAATTTAGGACGTGGAATCATAAGCGAAACAGCACACTGTTTGAATAAAGAGCGAGTCGGTATTTATATTTGTTTTTCTTTTGTCATGATTATTTATTTTAAGTTGCTCCAGCTGAGGCATTTTTCGTATTAGTATTTCTGTTAGGGAACTTTTCTTACTAGGTGGTTTGTATTGTCTGGTTTCTAACATGAAGGTAGCTGTTTGGCGGTTAAACACGTTTTGAGTAATTTGAGTTACAACGTGTGAAACTGAGCAAAAAAGCAGTGATAAGTTTGGGTTACCATACCAAGTATTTGTTTTCCCACTGGAAAAAAAGTAAGTTTTAGAAAATAGTTAACCTTTGCAGCATTTGTTTACAGTTTACAGTTCCAGAAGTGCGTCGAAATGGATTACATAACTGCTCTTTTATTCCTGGTGTTTACATCTGTCCCAGGCTGACACCTGCTCTTGGCTGGCCCACTTTGGTATGGGCTTTAATTTCACTACCCCAAACACAATACTGTCATCTGCTTTATAATAATGCTCAAGATGCCTGATAAAAATCTCATTTTGCAGCCAGACAAGCCTTGAATCCTTTTGGCACTAACTGCAAAGGAAGATTTTTTTCTCTAGATATGCATTAGCAGCTAGTGCTCCAGTTAGAAGCACGAACTATAACCTTGATAAGTAAACAGCAGCTGATGGTTAACAAGTGGATCGTCATGTTCAGTAGTTCATAAATTATGTGAGAAGTAACATTCTGATTGTTTTTTTCTTACACAGAATTGGCAGAGGGGGTCGATTTGGGAGGAAAGGTGTGGCTATAAACTTTGTTACTGAAGAAGACAAGAGGATTCTTCGTGACATTGAGACTTTCTACAATACTACAGTGGAGGAGATGCCCATGAATGTGGCTGACCTTATTTAATTCCTGGGATGAGAGTTTTGGATGCAGTGCTCGCTGTTGCTGAATAGGCGATCACAACGTGCATTGTGCTTCTTTCTTTGGGAATATTTGAATCTTGTCTCAATGCTCATAACGGATCAGAAATACAGATTTTGATAGCAAAGCGACATTAGTCGTGAGCTCTTGTGAGGAAAGTCATTGGCTTTATCCTCTTTAGAGTTAGACTGTTGGGGTGGGTATAAAAGATGGGGTCTGTAAAATCTTTCTTTCTTAGAAATTTATTTCCTAGTTCTGTAGAAATGGTTGTATTAGATGTTCTCTATCATTTAATAATATACTTGTGGACTAAAAGATATAAGTGCTGTATAAAATCAGCCAATTATGTTAAACTAGCATATCTGCCTTTATTGTGTTTGTCATTAGCCTGAGTAGAAAGGCCTTTAAAATTTTTTTTAGAAAGCATTTGAATGCATTTTGTTTGGTATTGTATTTATTCAATAAAGTATTTAATTAGTGCTAAGTGTGAACTGGACCCTGTTGCTAAGCCCCAGCAAGCAATCATCCTAGGTAGGGTTTAATCCCCAGTAAAATTGCCATATTGCACATGTCTTAATGAAGTTTGAATGTTAAATAAATTGTATATTCACTTTAAAGGTGCTTTTGGTCATTTTTATTACAACCCCCTTATTTACAAAACCCCACATCAAATCACTTTTTAACAATTCTGAGATAATTGCTGCATCACAGTTGCACAAAGGCTGATGAGTTGCAAATGTTCATCAGCACCATCTGCTAGGCATTTGTCAACTTCCTACAAGAAAAATTTAAGAAATTAGCATCCTTCAGGTAGTTAAATGTTTAATTGACATGTGCAAAGTACCTACTTACGGCAAGTTTTTCTGTAATAATGGACTTCTGTTTATCAGATAAATTATTCTCTACAACCACATCATGGAGTTGACTGACGAACTGAGTTGCTGCATGACCCTCATCTATTAAGTCCTATTAAAAAAAAAACTTTTGGTATGATCATTTAATATTCCTTTCCCCAAAGTTAGTAAGCTGACTTTACCTTGACCACAGCTTCTAGTTTGTCAAAAGAGCCACTCTGACAGGCAGCAAATACTCCATTAATTTTCTCAGCTGGTATTACCTAGGTAATTGAACGTTCAGTATTAGATGTTTCTAGGTGAGACTAACACATACACTCCCCCCAGTCCTTTCTGTTCCACACCTAAGTTCCATACTTAGCTAATGTTGTGATAACCCTGTAAAGTTGGGAAGGCTTTGGGAGAACAGCCAGAGTAACTCCAGTCACCACTACAGTAACCAAGGTGCTAACAGTTGTGCTTTTAAAGCCCAAGTTTGGACACACATGGGTTATAGCTTGTTCTGGTCAGTGGATGAAGACTAGTGGCCAAGATCAGCCAAAGAGACTGATTTCTTTAAAGGGGAAGTGCCCTTTCTCTCAAAATCCATGTAAATATGCCACTAATGAGATTGGTTTAAAAAGTCCACAATATCCAGAAAATTTAAGATGATTAGTGGTACCAGTCTTGTCATATGGAAGGCCTACCGTGAAGGTGAAAAATGTCATAGAAACAAAAGTTTTTAAGTAGTAGTGGTTCTGAGGTGAGTTTTGACATGGGAGTATCCAAAGACAGGTGGGGTACTCCATTCTCTTTAATGATTACTGTAAGTTGGATATGCCTTTTGTTTATATACAACTGGCAAAATAGTTTTCATGTATAAGAACATCTGCTAAAATTGATGTAACTGCCAAAGGCATCTCTTAAAAAAATCTAAAAACTGAAGGCTGGGCACTGTGGCTCCCACCTGTAATCCCAGCACTTTGGAAGGCTAAGGGGGGCAGATCACCTGAGGTCAGGAATTCAAGACCAGCCTGGCCAACCAACATCGTGAAACCCCATCTCTATTAAAAATACAAAAATTAGCTGGGCATGGTGGCAGGTGCCTGTAATCCCAGCTACTTGGGAGGGTGAGGTGGGAGGCAGAGGTTGCAGTGAGCTAGTATTGCGTCACTGCACTCCAGCCTGGGCGACAGATCAAGACTCCGTCTCAAAAAAAAAAAAGAAAACCTAAGAACTGAAAGTGTCCTTTTCTTTCCTGAAATGTCTATTACATGCCTGACAAACTGAAAAGTAAGTGTCATCTTCTCACCTGAAACATTCTGATACTCCCAGGTTATTCCCTTATACTTCCTAGTGCAGTACTTGGCACTTACTAAACATTCAGTATTTGTTGGATGAAAATTTCCTAAAAGCCACAAAAAAGCCAACTAAAAAGAAATTTGGAATATCCAGTACTCTTACCCCAGCAATGTCTGTGATCACTCTCTCTGTGATCTCCTTTCCACCTGTTAATCGAGTAGCGCTTTGAAGAAATGTAATGGCTTTTCTTAAGTCTCCTTCTGACACTTTAACAAGATAAGCTATTCCCTGAAGACAAAAAAGTTGTTTTTAACCTATGATGGCCAATTAAGGATTTATAACTTTAATTTTAAAATGTTTAATAAAAGTGAAAAGCCCTATGTTTTAGTCTAGAGTTAATGAGAACACCCATGTGTGTTTTGGAATGAAATCTGATCAGTCTAGAGGCCGGGTACGATGGAAGGATAGAGATGTCTTGCTTCTGAAATAAATCTGCAGAGATGAAAAAATGTTCCATATTTATCCCATTTTCTTGCTCACATAAAGCAAATTCAAATTATGCTTAAATTCTGTTATAATTAATAAGGGCCTTATGTTTCTATCAATTTTAGGGAAGTACTGAAGTATGAGCTAGAAGACTAAAATCTTGTCAGCATGCAGAGATTTATATTGCAGAATTTGCATTATATGTATGAAATCCACCTCAGTTTTGGGTCTTTGATATATTAAAAGTAATTAACTCAAAAAGTAATAGAAAAGCTAAACCTTGTAATTCCTACACATTTCAATTGTTGCCCCTTTAGCTTAAGTTTGTCTGAAGAACTGGCATCAGGATTGAGGCAACACATATTTAAATCCTTCAGGGTCTCTTTAGATGCATTCATTGAAGGAATTAGTAACTCTAATAATTGTAATAATTAGTAATTACCTCATCACTAATTTTGACATTTTCCTTCTCAGCAATGTCTAGTAATCGCTGCTGTTGAATTTTATCTGACAGAGGCTTGAAGCGGAATTTTGAACATCTAGAGGTCAGAGGTTCAATTATTCTGTGGAAGATGAGAAAAACCAAGTTGGTGTCTAAAGAAAGAATTTCCCCAAAAGAACTCATTTTTATCAAGAACAAATCAAGATTTGATGGAGGAAAAATTAACGTAGCCTTGAAAATTCTAAATTTCCTTCCCCTAATTGGGTTATGAAAATGAGGCTGCCTAGCATCTGTCTTCAGGGCAATATACATACCGACTGACATAGTTACAGATAAGACAGAATCGGGTGGTTTTAGACTCCTTCTCCATGGTACGTCTTAAAGCTGCCTGAGCAGCTGAGGTCATAGAATCTGCTTCATCCAGAATCACAATCTTAAAAGGTGGACACGGCTTCCCACTGATTCAGAGAAACACGTAAGAGTTGAACATTAATAGGTCTATTGGTTTCAACAGCTTTGTTGAAATATACATACCATACAATTCACCCATTTAAAATGTACAATTCAGTGTTTTTCTGTATATTCACAGCTCTAGGCAATCACTAGTCTACTTTCGTCTCTATAGATTTGCCTATTCTGGACATTATATGAATGGAACCATATAATACGCAGTCTTCTGTGGCTGACTTCTTTCACTTAACATATTTTAAAGATTCATCCATGTTGTAGCATGTGTTTGCTTCATTCCTTTGTATTGTCAAATACTATGGCAAACGGATATGCCACATTTATTCATCCATTAATCAGTTGGACATTTGGGTTGTCTCCATGTTTTGGCTATTAGGACTAACGCTGCTATGAACATTTGTGTACGTTTTTGAGCAGATATGTTTTCCAAGAGGCTGCACCATTTTATTTTACATTCCAAACAGCAATGTATGAGGTTTACCATTTCTCCACATCCTTGTCAATGCTTGTTATTTTCTGTATTTTTTTTATCATAGCCATCCTAGTGGGAGTTACCTGGTATTTCAGTGTGGTTTTGATTTTCATTTCCCAAATCGATAATGATGTTGATGAGCACCTTCTCATGTGCTTATTAGGCATGCATATATTCTTTGGAGAAATGTCTATGCAGATCCTTTGCCCATTTTTTAATTGCGTTATTTGTTTTTATTACTGAGTTTTTAAAGTTCTTCATATGTTCTAGACATAAGTACTTTTTAGATATATGATTTGTATTTTCTCCCATTTTGTGGGTTATTACCTTCTGCACATTGATTTTTGGTAATCTGCCATTAAAATTTTTCTCCCACCAAAAGTGGCATTAACATAATTATATGAAAATTATACCAAGAAAACAGATTTCAAGTATTAATGGTAGAAGGGATCTCAGAGTCTTTTAGTCCACCTCCCAGTCTTCATTTCACATAAAAATAAATTAGGTGCTATAGAGGTTGTGACTGACTGCACCATCAATTCAAGGTGGATATCAAAAATTAGTCATTCACTTTCATAAATTTTGAAATGTGCTCATGTAAATTTTACATATACGTTTAGGTACCACCAATGTAATCCTGGACCTTTGCCACCTAAGGAGCATAAATAGTTGATTAAATCAGTTTACCTCAGGCAGGATAGTCTTCTAACATGAAAAGGGAGTTGACAATTTGGCAAAAATAAACTTGATCTTAGCCAAAAGGCTGAGGAGCGATGGCAGAAACACATATTTAAAATAATACATGCTATGGAGGAGGCAGGGCAAATTTACTTACTCTGAACGACTTCCCGACACAGTTAACTGAGCAAAATTTTTCACTTTCTCTCGAACTACTTGTATTCCACGTTCATCAGATGCATTTAACTCAAGAACTCTTAATCGGAAAAGTTCAGGTCTATCTCACAATGAAACAAATATGAAACATAGAGCACAAGGAGGCTTAAATCACATTTTAACATTTGCACACTTTGCAGATGCTTAAAATCCACTTAGTAAACAATATGGATAGAAGGCACACAATCACTTTTGTATTCTCTCTCGGTAGAGTGCTGCAGTTACCATTTTGGCTTTTTTCCATGCATTTAAAAAAATGTAGACATTATTACATAAAATATACAATTTCTTTTCTTTTTATTTTTTTGGAGACAAGGTCTTGCTCTGTCACCCAGGCTGGAGAACAATGGCATGATGATGGCTCACTGCAGCCTTGCACTCCTGGGCTCAAGTGATCCTCCCACCTTAGCCTCCCAACTAGCTGGGACTATAGGCACATGCCATCACACCTGGCTAATTTTGTTTACTTTTTATAGAGGCAGGGACTCATTATGTTGCCATGCTGGTCTCAAGTGATCCTTCGACTTTAGCCTCCCAAAATGTTGGGATTACAGGTGTGAGGCACCACACCTGGCTCCACATATAAAATTCTAAATCGATTTTCCACTTCGCATTTATAATAAGTATCTCGACATATTATCAAAACCACTGTAAATAACATTTTAACAGTCGTATGATATTCCATCTTATGACTGTACCATCATTTACTTAACATTCTTCTATTGTTAGACTCTAGACAGTTTTAAATGTTGTAATTTTAAACAATGTTAGAATATAGCACATTTTAAATTATTTCCGGACGAGTGTAGTGGCTCATGCCTGTAATCCCAGCACTTTGGGAGGCCGAAACAGGTGGATCATGAGGTCAGGAGTTCGAGACCAGCCTGACCAACATGGTGAAACCCTGTCTCTACTAAAAATACAAAAATTAGCTGGGCGTGGTGACAGGCACCTGCAGTCCCAGCTACTCAGGAGGCTGAGGCAAGAGAATCACTTGAACCCGGGATGCAGAGATTGCAATGAGTCAAGATCGCACCACTGCACTCCAGCCTGGGTGACAGAGCAAGACACCGTCTCAAAAATAAGTAAATAAACAAACAAACAAACAAATAAATTCCAAAGGGTAGTTTGCTATAAGGAAACTTACTAGATTAAGGAAAATTAATGGATTAAAACATGAGCAGGTTTTTAAAGTGAGTTTTAATAAAAATTACTAAAAGTAATATATACTTACTATAGAGAAATCTGATAAATCAAAAGAAAAAAAAAGGGCACACTGTCAAAGCACTGTTTTGAAACTTCCCTCTAGTCTTTTACACACACACACACACACACACATTTTTAAATAAAAAACAAGAGTTGTGATTTAGTTTCATCTCTATTTTTCCTAATCAGCATGGTATCCTAAGCATGCTTATGGACATAAACATTTACATGCATCTATTTTCTATTTTAAAACCACAATATTAAATATGAAATTCACTGTTAAAGTAAGTTCTTTAAAGACAAACATTATTTTACGAAGAATATAGAAAAAGTTGTATAATCTGGACTGACCTACTCTAAGTAATAATAAACAACTGTTAAGGCTGATTCAGATTGGTTCTATCTGACTGAGTTGTGGAATAATCAAAAAAGTTCTTTTATAATTTTACTGAGCATCAAAAGTTGCTGTCAAATAAAATATTAGGCACACAGCAGCCTCTCTGTTTGTCTTTTACATTTTGACATAACTAATAATCCTTACACATTTGGTGATTTCAGTGGCATCCTTTTTTTTTTTTTTGAGACCGAGTCTCACTCTGTCACCCAGGCTGGAGCGCAGTGGCGTGATCTCGGCTCACTGCAACCTCCACCTCCCAGGTTCAAGCAATTCTCCTGCCTCAGCCTCCCGAGTAGCTGGGACTACAGGCGCATGCCACCATGCCTGGCAAATTTTTGTATTTTTAGTAGAGATGGGGTTTCACCATGTTGGCCAGGCTGGATTGGAACTCCTCACCCTAGGTGATTCACCCGCCTTGGCCTCCCAAAGTGCTGGGATTACAGATGTGAGCCACCGCGCCTGGCCTATTTTCATATGTAGGATTTCAGATATTTTTATCAGTTGTATGTCTAATATTAATTCTGGAAAAACTCAAGACAGCCTTTGTTATGTTGGTGCATGTTTCATGTATATCAGACCCAGCCCACTACACATCTTTCAACTCTAGATAAAGGGCTCCTCTAGAATGGCTGGTTAAGCCAAGATGGTCAATCTAGGAAGAGGAACCTAAGAAGGTGACTCACAGGAAGATTTTCTGGTGTACCTGGAATCATACTACATCAACTACCACTTATGCTCAGGAGACCTGAGGCAAGGAGCTGGCCTGGCCACTCCAGAGTCACAGCCTAGGAAGTCTAGAGCAGGACTCAAGAATGGATGGTGCAAATAGTACCATCAGAAACAGCAGATTCTATCATACAGCCACACAGATGTGAACACAATCATTAAGAGGGTTATAAAACTATCAGCACAATTGAACATTAAGTTGGACCCTCTGGACTCCAAAATTATAAAGGAAAATTTAAAGAAAGTGATGGAAAAAATCATAGGCTCCCAGTGTTGTAGTACATTCAAACACGTGAACAAGATTCAGAATGAAGGTTACAAAAGATGCAGGCAAGCTGATTTCTTCAGGGGAGTGAGGGAGGAACAAAATGGGCTCATGGGATTTTTAAAAATCAGAAATAGAAAGAAAACTGTCCTACAGAAAATGAAATGCAAATTTTTAGAGGAAAAAAAAGCAGTATCAGAGAATTTTGGTGTCAAATCTTTTAAAAAAGAAAAACAGACTGATTTAAACATACCCAAAGAGTTCTCTAGCTGCTGCCAAAATAGTGGATGTTTTTCCAGTTCCAGGTGGTCCATAAAACAAGAGATTAGGAAGCTGTAGAAATTAAATTTGTTTTTAATAAATGGTATTCTGGCACAAATAGATGAAAAGGAAGATTGAAAAAACTGTCTGTGGAACAGTGCAACAACTTCTCTAATAGGGCACGTAACTTCTAAGTATAAAGATTTCTTAATATAACTGACATCATAGTATTGACAGATCTAAATCCTGCTTTTTCATATACTACCACTTTTTTCCCCAAGTGTCTTTTTAATCTCTTAAGCTGAACCAATATTTATGTTTGCTCTATAGCTAATCCACTTAGGTGAAATTTTCAAAGCTGGAATGAGAAACCTTTTATTTCTAAAGGGAATCTCAGTTTCCTATCCCACCTCTATGCTCAAGATTAGGTAAGACTTTATATTACACAGCACATCAGCTGCTTCAAAGGGGAAGCAGATCAAAAGAGTAATGGGATTTGGCCAAAACTGAGGAAAAAGGACTAAAAAAGACATAATCAGGGCTTTGAATGAGCAGAAGTACCAAGAACAGAAATAGTAACAAAAAATACAAAACTAGACATACATTTAGTGCTAGGCACTGTCCCACATCATGATTATGTACTCTGTAAGGATGCTTGCATGTATCAGGGACAATTCATTAGAAGAGGAAAGGATAAGATTAAATAACTAGCTACCTTCTTTTATACCTTACATCTAGATAGTTTGGCTCCTATCAAGCAGTTGACTGATCTGAGGTGAAAATTAATAAGTCAACTAAATTCTAATGAGCTCTGCTATGAAACTGTACATTCTTCAGTATGTCCTTTCACATAAGGAAATCACTGTACACAGGAAAATAGGCATTAGAGTTTGTTTCCACTCTTGCCTAACCCTCCCTCTTCCCGCCCATTCATTCTTCACCTAAATCAGATACCACTCTGCTTGCTACTTAAAACTATTCCACTTAGAGAAACAAAAACAAACAAAAAAATCCTCAGCTTTTTACCATGGCCTAAAGGACTTCCATGATCTGCCTACCACCCCCTTCACCTTCCAGGCTCCAGCTTATAATGGCCTCTAACAGCCTGGCACTTTCTGGCCCTAACGTATGTTGTTCCCATGACCTGGAGTCTGATCCTCTTCTTTCTGCCTGGCCAACTCCTAATGCATTACAAATCAGAAACCATTCAGTCTAAAGTAGGTCTCTCCTATTATCTCATTAGTATTTGTTGCATTTTGCATTGGTTTATTGCTATTTAACTGTGGGGCTTAATTGTAAAATGCCTGCCTACTTCATTAAAAGACCAAGAAACTTATTTGTTCTATTCACATCTGTATCCTAGCATCTACTACAGTAGTCAATGTTGGCCAAATGAATGAATAAACCAATACATAGACAAATATATTAATTAGAAGACTATTACTGTTACATTCATAACATACAGCTTATAGTGCAAACTATGAGATTCATAACCTAAAAACCTCCTACGCTTCTTAGTAATTAAGGTCTACAACTATTATTTTGATCTGTGCGTCCCTTAACAATGTAGTAATTCATCCAGGTTAACTATCAGATACAATAATTTAAATTCTTTGAAACAGGGTAAACTTATTAAACCTTACATTATACACTAGTCTAATATATATAGTACATTCAAGAACTGTATGTGGAATACCAGTTCTTAAAAGAAAATCAATTTCTGAAAAAATTATCTTCTTATAATTCTTTCAAACCTTTCTTTTTCTCTTTTTTTTTTTTTTTGAGACGAGTCTTGCTCTGTTGCCCAGGCTGGAGTGCAGTGGCACCATCTCGGCTCACTGCAAGCTCCGCCTCCCGGGTTCATGCCATTCTCCTACCTCAGCCTCCCAAGTAGCTGGGACTATAGTAAAACCTTTCAAAGTAAATTGAATGAATTGTTTTCCTTTACTCTTTTGAATTAAAAAAACTATTTCACCTCTTTACAAAAGTTAGTCTGAAAAGATGCACAAAATATTAAACTGAAGTTCTTACTTCAGCCTCATAAATTACATGGCATAAAGTCAAGAACTAGATCTTAGGTTGGGCATGATGGCTCACACCTGTAATCCCAGCATTTTAGGAGGCCAAAGTGGGCAGGTCACTTGACATGGCTAAACACTATCTCTATTAAAAACACAAAAATGAGCTGTGTGTGGTAGTGCATGCCTGTAGTCCCAGCTACTCAGGAGGCTGAGGTGGGAGGATCACTTGAGCCTGGGAGGCAGAGGGTGCAGTGAGTTGATACCACACCACTGCACTCCAGCCTAGGTGACAGATCAAGACTCTGTCTCAATTGAAAAAAAAAAAAAAGAACTGGATCTTAATCTCACTACATTTGCTGAAGATACTAATAATTAAATTAGGTATTATCCTGCAATCTGTGTAATTACTATGCAACTGCAATTAAAATGGTATATCCTGTTACCAAGATATACAAGCAGAATATATCAAAAAATAAAATGGCATACTATGATAGAATTAAAAGGTGTAAGAGTATTTGTGTTACTTATTTTTTTATTATTTATTTATTTTTGAGACCAGAGTCTCACTCTGTCACCCAGGCTGCAGTACAGTGGCACGATCTTGGCTCACTGCAACCTCTGCCTCCCAGTTTCAAGTGATTCTCCCGCTTTAGCATCCTGAGTAGCTGGGACTACAGGTGTGTGCCACCACGCCTGGCTGCTTTTTCTAATTTTTGGTAGAGATGGGGTTTCACCGTGTTGGCCAGGCTGGTCTCGAACTCCTGACCTCAAGTGATCTTCCCATCTCAGCCTCCCAAAGCGCTGGGATTACAGGCGTAAGCCACTGTGCCTGGCCAAAAAGGTATGAGTATACGAATCAAATCAAAACACATACTGGTAAAGAAAAAGATTCTAAATAGTTTTATAAATTTAACTTCTTTCAAAATGTGTCCTGTAGTAATATAATTTCAGCAAGAGAATGATGGCAGCAAAACCCAAAAGAACCTCTAATTAAAAGCAGCCAGATTGAGAGGAAGGAAGCAAATCTTGAAACTAAAGCAAAAACTATATCCCACTTCACCACTTTACTGAGCTGTTGAAGCACTTTGGGCATTCATCGTAACACAACTTTAAGTTCCTAATTCTCCACATGGGTTTATCTTATCTCAGAATAATTTACAGTGCAAACCATTCATGGATATTTTATCCCCCATATCACAGGCGAAGAGAGTGCTATAAGCAGAATTCAAAGCTCTGTTTTGTTTTGTTTTGTTTTGTATTATAGGTCAATCCAAATCCTAAAGTTAGTAAGCAATTATACTTTAGAGGAATCTCTGGCTCTTCTTTATAGCACATATTACTACCTAGAATTATTTATTGGTTTACTTGTTTATTCCCTCTTACCAATAAAAACCCATGAAAAAGGGGCATAGTTCGTCTTGTTCTATGCTTTATGTCTTGTTCTACGTCTATGTTTCATAGCCTGTCTTAATTACTATGACTTTTACTTGAATACTATGTAACACTGCTATGTAAGATTAAATAGGAGATGCTCAATAAATATTTGAACTAATTATCATTGTAGTAATTATCATAAGTACTAAGTATCATAGTTATCAAGGACCTACTGTACATAGAGCATGATATTTAATGAAGGCTAGAAGTTACAAAGGAAGAAAGAGGGTGAATAAATTAAGTCTTAAATATCCCAATGACATTAAATACCATTTGCAACTCACATCGGCTCCTTCTAAAGACTTTTTCAGCACTGCAACCACTTCTTCCTGGAAAGCAACTTCATCCACACATTTTGGGCGACTTGCAGGGTGGGGAGGAGGAAAGAGGTTATTTAGTATATTATAGTAACCACAGAAAACTCTCAAGTGTTCTTTCTACTAAAATACTAATGACAATTCTCAAACATCAGCAATGAAATGAGAAACTTTTTCATAATTGGAAATAGGTGGAAACCCCATTTGTTGTTACCATAAGCAAACACACCCTGAAAGAGTGAAATAATGTTTTACTTCCTATCTGCATTACTTGACTCTGTTATACCCACAAAAATTAAGCAAAAGGATTTTATTTTATCCACTACAAACACTAATTAGAAATTAAAGTGGGGGATTGAGACCATCCTGGCTAATCACGGCTGAAACCCCATCTTTTTTTTTTTTTTTTGAGACGGAGTCCGTCGCTCTGTCGCCCAGCGCTGGAGTGCAGTGGCCGGATCTCAGCTCACTGCAAGCTCCGCCTCCCGGTTCATGCCATTCGTCCTGCCTCAGCCTCCCCGAGTAGCTGGGACTACAGGCGCCCGCCACCTGCCCAGCTAGTTTTTTGCAATTTAGTAAGAGACGGGTTTCACCATGTTTAGCCAGGATGGTCTCTCGATCCCCTGACCTCGTGATCCACCCATCTCGGCCTCCCCAAATGCTGGGAATTACAGGCCTGAGCCACCGCGCCGCGCCTGAACCCCATCTAAATAAAATAAAAAAATTAGCCCAGGCGAGGCCGGCACGCGCTCACGCCTGTAATCCCAGCACTTTTGGGAGGCCGAGGCGGGTGGATCATGAGGTCAGGAGATCGAGACCATCCTGGCTAACATGGTGAAACTTCGTCTCTACTAAAAAATACAAAAAATTAGCTGGCGTGGGTGGCGGGTGCCTGTTGTCCCAGCTACTGGGAGGCTGAGGCAGGAGAATGGTGTGAACCAGGAACCAGAGCTTGCAGTGAGCTGAGATTGCCCCACTACACTCCAGCCTGGGCGACACAGCAAAGACTCTGTCTCGCAAAAAAAAAAAAAAAAATTAGCTGGGCATGGTGGCAGGCGCCTGTAGTTCCAGCTACCAGGAGCTGAGGCAGGAGAACAATGTGAACCCAGGAGGCAGAGCTTGCAGTGAGCCGAGACTCGCGCCACTGCACTCCAGCCTGGCACAGAGAGAGACTCCATCTCAAAAAAAAAAAAAAAAAAAAAAAAGAATAAAAGTGGGCTGGATGTGGCTCACACCTGTAAACCAACACTATAGGAGGCTAAAGCAGGTGGATCACCTGAGGTCAGGAGTTCAAGATCAGACTGACCAACATGGAAACCCTGTCTCTACTAAAAATACAAAATTAGCTGGGCATGGTGGCACATGCCTGTAATCCCAGTTACTCGGGAGCTGACGCAGGAGAATCGCTTGGAAATCCAGACGCAGAGGTTGCAGTGAGCCGAGATCCTATTACTGCACTCCAACCTGGCAACAAGCGAAACTTCATCTCAAAAAAAAAAAAAAAAAATTAAAGTGAACACCTGCTTAGAAAGCATTAATATTGGTTGGATGGCTAGCTCACGCCTGTAACCACACTGCCTTGGAGGCAAGGCAAGGCAAGAATCCACTGAGGTCAGGAGTGAAACCAGCCTGGCCACATTGGTAAAACCTCATCTCTACTAAAAATACAAAAATTAGCTCAGTGTGGTGGCGCATGTCTGTAATCCCAGCTACTCGGGAGGCTGAGGCAGGAGAATCACTTGAACCTGGGAGGCAGAGGTTGCAGTGAGCTGAGATAATGCTGCTGCACTCCAGACTGGGCGACAAAGCGAGAATCAGTCTCAAGAAAAAAGAACAAAAAAACAAAAACACAAAAAACATAGGAGGGCCTTACTCCGCCTATAAATAATCTGTAAACATTGGTAATTACTGAGGCTACATTCAACCAATAGTTACAATTACTTGTGGTAGTATCACTTAGATGACTGACATTATTTATTTATTTGAAACAGAGTCTTGCTCTGTCACCCAGGCTGGAATGCAGTGGCGTGACCTCAGCTCACTGCAATTTCTGCCTCCCAGGTTCAAGTGATTCTCGTGCCTCAGCCTCCTAAGTAGCTGGGATTACAGGTGCCCGCCAACACATCTGGCTAATTTTTGTATTTTTAGTAGAGAGGGGGTTTCACCATGTTGGCCAGGCTGGTTTGGAACTCCTGGCCTCAAGTGATCCTCCCACCTTGGCCTCCCAAATTGCTGGGATTACAGGATTACAGGCATAAGCCACCGTGCTAGGTAGTGACTGACAATTTAAATGCCAATTCAAGTGTTGTTTGGACAAAAATGTATGAGCTAACCAAAACTGAATTTCCAGGGCTGGCTGAAACCCCCTATCTCTACTAAAAATACAAAAAATTAGCCAGGTGTGGTGGTGGGCACCTGTAATCCCAGCTACTCGGGAGGCTGAGGCAGGATAATCGCCTGAACCCAGGAGGCAGAGGGTGCAGTGAGTCAAGATCATGCCACTGCACTCCAGCCTGGGCAACAGAGTGAGACTCCATCTCAAAAATAGTAATAATAGTAATAATCTCCACCTATTGTAATGAAAACGGGGAACAGATTACATATTTGGATTTAAGTAGAACTCCTGGCTGGGCATAGTGGCTCAAGCCTGTAATCCCAGCACTTTGGGAGGCTGAGGCGGGTGGATCATGAGGTCAGGAGTTTGAGACCAGCTTGGCCAATATGGTGAAAACCTGTCTCCACTAAAAATACAAAAATAGCCGGGTATGGTGGCGTGTGCCTGTAATCCCAGCTACTCAGGAGGCTGAGGCAGGAGAACTGCTTGAACCCGGGAGGCGGAGGTTACATTGAGCCAGAGATTGTGCCATTGCACTCCAGCCTGAGTGACAGAGTGAGACTCCGACTCAAAAAAAAAAGTAGAACTCCTGACCAAGTATTTATAGCCAGTTTACTGAAACTTGTTTTCTTCACTTTTGTATCCCAGTCCCTACAATGGAAGCCTCTGCTTGTAGAGATCTCAGTTTATCTACAAAATAAGGGAATTAAACTAGATTATTCTCAAGTAACTTCAGTTCCAGGGTTCTATGACTTATATAATCAGGTGATTTTTTCAAAGACAACTTCTAAACAGAACACAGTATTCCTCCATAAGTTTAAAAAAAAAGTGATCAGAACTGGTTAGAGAGAGAATTTATTAATTATTTTAACAAAGACACAAGTGTTCTTACTATTTTTCCACCCAGGGAACGGGTTTGGCTTTCTTGTTCTCTCCACTACTTCCCGCAGGGGCAGCTACTCCTCGATCTTTGGTCAGCCAGGGATTTAGTACTGATGGATGTGCCTTTTAAGAAATGCCTGCATGATTATTCACCCTGGTCAGGTGCAACACAGAAAAAAAAAAAAAAACTTTTATCAAACCATTTTGAGAATCAGCACCATAGGAAGGGTGGGGGGGGGGGCGAGAGACCACTTGATTTTGAGAAAGTGACAGCCTGGGAAAACCACACTTAGCCTTTGTGCAAAGGTTTAATAATAAAGGACAATCACCCCTATGACCTAGGACAATCTTGAATGCCACTTGCTACTGGAGGGCTTACGAGGGACAGAAAAGTGGTCAAAGTCCTTAAGGAACTTAGAATCTATTTATAGTGCAGGAGTTATAGAACAAAGATCATATGTCACAAAAATGTTTAATGAGTTCCAAATGCATTGATAAATATGTCGCTAATGACCAAACCACATGGGCCTCCATGGTTTCTTTCACAGTCATGGGCCTAGCTTTAGCTCAGACCCTGAAATGGACTCTGCAGCAATTAAAGGTGCTGTGCTTGCATCACAAATGAGAACCTTCACTCCTTTCTTTGTCAGAACTCACTCAAAGACCTTTATTGGTTGTTGTTTTCTTTGAGACAGGGTCTCACTGTTTTGCCCAGGATGGAGTGCAGTGTCACAATCATGGCTCACTGCAGCCTGGACATCCCAGGCTCCTGTGATCTTCCCATTTCAGCCTCCCCAGTAGCTAGGACAACAGGTGCGCGCCACCATCCCCAGCTAATTTTTTTAATTTTTGGTAGAGACAGGGTTTCACCATGTTGCCCAGGCTGGTCTGGAACTCCTGGGCTCAAGTAATCCTCTTGCCCCGGCCTCCCAAAGTGCTGGGATTACAGGTGTGAGCCATCACGCCTGGCCAGGGACCTATTTTAATGGCAGAGTCAATGCCCACCTACCTTCAGAGACTTTCTGTGGGGAAAGGAAGGTGGGGGACTCTGTTGTTAAAATAGAAACAGCTGTTTTTCTCATAACACACTCACTTGAAGAAATCAAAACAATGCAGAAAAGCATGAGGGATTTTAAAAAGTAATACAAAATCCCACCCAGAAGGTAACTATTTCTAACATGCAGGTAAACATTCTTCCAGGGTGTTTTCAGGGATAAAAAGCATCATTAGCTTGCCTGAAAAATCCCCAGTTAATTCTATTTTTTTTCATTGCTACAAGCCCTGGTGCCGAGAACAGTGCCTGGTACATGGTAGATGGCCCATAATATTTAGTGCATGAATTACCATCTATGACACCCGGTTTCCTTTTCTGTTAAAGGAGCTAAGGCCTATTCCATAGGACAACTGAGTTAAATAAAAGAATGTATGCAAATACATAGTTCCTTGCTTGGCATATGGGGATATACTCAATAAAATAAAATAAATTGTTAATATCTATTGGCAGCCAAGGTTTTCATAACGTTATTGGATTAGTCCATCCCTGCCTCGGGCTGTTAAACACGAATACAGCCCAAAGCCGGGGTCTGCAGGATGCTGTCCGGAACCACCATTTCACCAGAGGGCGCGGCCAGGGCATGAAAGCGCGGCTAGGTTGGGGCCCCGAAGGACGTGGAAGACCTCACAGGGGCATCAAGGGCAGGAGTGGGGAAGGCGAAGCGGGCTTGCAATTCCTCCAGCCGGTTACCAGTCAGCCTGGCTTCTCGTGCAGGTCACCGCCGCCGGCTAGTTCCTGAGGTTTCCGGGATACAAAAAGGACAAGATGGTCTCAAAGTCTTAGTTCCGTTCCCTAATCTGAGAATAACGGGCCCAGGAGACTTACGATCACCGCCGTCCCCACAGTCGCCTCAGTTCCCGCCACGGAACGGCAAGCGAAAAGCAGGCCGGGAATACGCCGGTAGGAATACGCGGGCACGTAACGCGTCACTTCCGGTCCTGGGGCGCGCTGCCAGCGGGGAGAGTTTGCACGTATATGGTTTTATTTAAGCAGGTAATGAGCCAGCCGGACTTTCAGGGAGAACTGGACTGGAACAGGCATGACCTAGGAGGTGTCCCTGTCCCGGTGCATTGCTCCCACTTGAGACGTGAGCGCGACCCTCCCCGAAGGTCGCGCGGGCACGGCGCTGGGGCCGCTTACCTGGCAGGCTCTGCAATGGGGGCGGGGCAGCGGCGCGCGGGCCTCTGGAGGCCTGCGGGTCCACCGAAGGTCCGGAGCCCGCTATCTTCGTAGGTGCGGGCCTCCGGAGGTGCAGGTCCCTATCCTTGTCCTGCTTCGTCGCAGAGCAGAACGCGTGTGCTTTAAGGGCAGAGACATCTGAAGATGCCTTGCCTTGCCCTCTTGAGGGCACGTGGCTTTTACTTCTAATAGTGTCTGCCTGTTGTGGAGAGGGAAGACCATGCAGCTGTGGACATCTATTATAATTCCTGAGCCCCACTTAGAAATCTGAAAGTGCAGGCGTTCAATAAAAGTTAAAAGATCGATAATCATGTTTAGCCCCACCAAGGTTCGTGCACTGTGGCTTCTAGGCAGGTGTCTGACACCACTGCTTTTCTCTCTTCCAAGTACTTGGTTTAGTCTGAAATGCTGCTTAATCCTATTGAAACCTGACCCTTCTCAAAGGCCGCCTTCTCTACAGGCCTTTACTAATTACTAACCCATAAGGTTGATCCGGGTCTTCTTCAAATGACTGTTTTGTTTGGCACAAACTCAGCATGATATCCATTGTTAACTGCACATTTTTTTCATTTATCTTGCAACAAATGCTTACGGAATGTCCACGCACTGTGCTAGATGCCTGCAGATACAGCAGGAAAAACGCTAGAAGATGCCCTCAAGTAGCTTTACAGACTAGGAAAGTGACAGACACTGTGATGTGTGGTTATGCAGAGGAAGTAGGGGGCTGTGAGAACTTACATCCCAGGCCTAACTCAATCAAGGGTTTAACCAGAGTAAGGATGCTTTATGCTACTTTGTAACTTCCGCAGGGTCTGATACAATCTCTGGACAGTATAAAAAGCACACAGGTTACCTATCTGGTCACTGGTTTACATTACCGTAACTCATCAAACTGTATACTTAATGCTTGTACATTTTATGTAAATTATACCACAATACAGTTGATAAAACAAAGATCTGTGAAAATAGATAGTATTCATTTGCTACCTGAATGAACAGCACAATCACAGAGACGGGGATGTTATGATCTCATTTAACAGACAAGCTGGGCTGGGTGCGGTGGCTCACGCCTGTAATCACAGCACTTTGGGAGGTCGAGGCCAGCGGATCACCTGAGGTCAGGAGTTCAAGACCAGCCTGGACAACATGGTGAAATTCCATCTCTACAAAAATACAAAAATTAGCCAGGTATGATGGCGGGGGCCTATAATCTCAGCTACTTGGGAGGCTGAGGCAGGAGAATCACTTGAACACGGGAGGTGGAGGTTGCAGTGAGCCAAGATTGCGCCATTGCATTCCAGCCTGGGTGACAGAGCAAAACTCCGTCTCAAAAACAAACAAAACAGACAAGCTGATGGATAAGTGGTCTTTGTCCATTTTGGCTGCTATAGCAAAATACCATAGATTGGGTGGCTTATAAACATCATAAATTTATTTCTCACAGTTTTAGTGGCTGGGAAGTCCAAGATCAAGGCACCATCAGATTCACTGACTGGTGAGGGTTCACTTCCTCACTGACAGCTGTCTTACTGCTGTAACCTCATGTGGTGGAAAGGGCTAACTAGTTTTCTCCATCTATCTCCTTTATAAAGGCATTTCTCCCATTCATGAGGGTTCCACTCAAATGACTCAGTCGCCTCCCAAAGGCTCCACCTCCTGATATCATCACCTTGGGAGTTATAATTTCAATAACTATAACTTGGGGGTATGGGGACAAACATTCAGACTACAACAAAGGTTAATAGCAAATAAGTGGCAAAGCCATAATCCAGACTCTGAACTGTCTGACTCCAGACTCATAGCTTGTGATCAGTCACTGGGCAGGTTCAGGGCTGGCATAGAGATGCCTCAATGTTAGATAGAAAAGAGAGACCTGACTGGTATCTTGTGTTGGCAATTGGTTTTTAAAAAGTGCCATCTTTCTCCAGGTACATTCAGCCCTTGGTGGGATGAAAGACTTGATAAGAGATTGGGCTGGATTTCTATCTCCACTTGCCCCTTCAGCTGACTACTCCGTTATTGTACACAACTATAGGCAGCATCCTAAGCCAGGTAGTTGAAGAATTGAAGAGAAAGAGAGAATGAGAGAAAGAGAGAGAGATCTCTCTATGTTTAGTCTTGAACTCCTTGGCTCAAGGGATCCGCCCACCTCAGCCTCCCAAAGTGCTGGGATTACAGGTGTGAGCCACTGCCTCCAGCCCTGGATTATATAAGTTTTCTTTAAAAATTTTTGAGACAGTCTCACCCTGTTGCTCAAGCTGGAGTGCATTGGCACTAACTCAGCTCACTGCAACCTCCACCTTTTGGATTCAAGTGATTCTCGTGCCTCAGCCACTCAATTACAGACACGTGCCGCCACACACGGCTAACTTTTGTATTTTTAGTGGAGACAGGGTTTTACCACATTGTTCAGGCTGGTCTCAAACTCCTGACCTCAAGTGATTCTCCCGCCTCAGCCTCCTAAAGTGCTGGGATTACAGGCGTGAGCCACTGTGCCGGGCCTGGATGATATTTTATAAGGTCACTAGGAAAGGAAAAGACTTGGGTAGCAAATGAAAAAAGGGAGCTGCCAGAAGTGGGAAAGATCAGATAGTGGATGATAGTGTCATTTTGAAATCAGAAAGTGCAGGCTGAGTACAGTAGTTCATGCCCATAATCCTTTGATAGGCCAAGGTGGGAGGAACACTTGAGCCCAGGAATTTGAGACCAGTCTGGGCAACACACCTGAGACCCCCCATCTCTACAAAAATAACAAATAAATAAAATAGAAAAAAAATCAGAAACTGCAAGTGTACTGGATGCTCTGGTATGCTACCTTTCTGGACTGACATATTCACTCCCCCAGCTGCTGGGACGGTTGCCAGTCAACAACTCCTGAACGAGTCCCTGTCCAGCAACTGTCTTCAGCCAACAAAACCACTTTATCAAAAATTGCATTCCTTTCGTGGAGGCAGCCCACCTCCAAGGGCTAGTCTAGGAGGATGCTATAGTTTGGATGTGGTTTGTTCCCGCCCAAACTCATGTTGAAGTTTAATGGCCAGTGTGGTAGTGTTGGAGGCGGGGCCTAGTGCGAGGTGTTTGGCTCCCTGGGGTGGGTCCCTCATGAATAGATGGTGTCATTCTCAAGGTAGTGAGTTCTTGTTCCTGGGAGACTGGATTCGTTCTCACAGAAACGGATTAGCTCCTGAGAGAGCAAGTTGTTATGAAGTGGGTCCGCCTCCTTGGTCCCCTCACTCAGCACATGCCAGCTCACCTTTCTGCTTCTCCTCCATGTTATGAGGCAGCCTGAGGCCCTCACCAGAAGCTGAACAGCCTGGCACCATGCTCTTGGACTTTGCAGCTACCAGAATTGTGAGCTAAAGAAATCTCTGTTCTTAATAAATGACCCAGCCTAACAGTCTGTAATAGCGACAAAATGGACAAAGACAGAGGGGTATAAAGGTTTAGCCCTTGTCTTAAGGTGGCACCGTTCTTATGCGTTATTCCAGCTCCAGATCTTCACTGCACCTGCATCACAATACAACTTCTTCTGCCCAGTCCTGCCTCCCTCATCCCTCTCATGCATTGTTTCTTAGAGTACCACACCGTTAAAAGCCTGCAGGCAAATCGCAAAATCTGTTTCCTAAGGAATCCAATGCAGAAGTGGTCCTTGAAAAAGGCTCTAAGATGGGATTTGTGAGGCTGTATCCCCTCCCAACCTGTTGGCAAGGGAAACCCCATCACTGGTGGTGGTAGAGCCCCCATAGCCCCTGGCATCCTACGGCAATTGTTAAAACGTTCATCAGTGGCAAACTGGAAGGGGGTGCCAGTGGAAGGAAATGCATAGCAGATGTAATATCTCAGGGGTTGTAAGAAAGAGTAATTATAAGAACTTTGGAATTGGGTGGACATGGCTGGTGGGGATGTTATTAATTCCTTAAAGATAATGAAGGGTCGAATGTCACCAATTGCCAATGAGACCAAGGATGAAAGCCAGAGGGTCTGGCAGGTAGTGGCGGCTCACACTTGTAATCCCAGCACTTTGGGAGGCTGAAGTGGGTGGATCACCTGAGGTCAGGAGTTTGAGACCACCCTGGCCAACCTGGTGAAACCTTGACTCTACTAAAAACACAAAAATTAGCTTGGTGTGGTGGCGTGTGCCTGTAATCCCAGCTACTCAGGAGGCTGAGGCATGAGAATCACTAGAACCTGGGAGGCAGAGGATGCAGTGAGCCGAGATCACGCTATTGCACTCCAGCCTGGGCGACAAGAGCGAAACTGTCTCAAAAAAAAAAAAAGAAAAAGAAAAAGTCAGCATATAAACTTGGCAGCATATAAACTTAATAACATATCCTACAACCAGAGGGGAAAACAATTTATGAGTCAGACCCCAAAAATCAATTATATTAGTGGCAGGGTTTGAGAGAAGGTTAAATTCTCAACTCCAGTAAATCTACCACACCAAGTTCAAGACCCTGATTGGGGGGGAAAAAAAACCAAAAACTGAGATGCTGAGATTTGAAATGGGGCCAGCTGGGTCAATGCATTTGAAAATCTTAAATTTCCAGATTCCTCTGAATGCTGTTGATCTACAGAAGTAGCCCATTCCTCTCTGTTAAGTGCTGATGTTCCTCTCTGAAGGATATATGTACAAGCTTCTGCTTTGTAAGACAACACATATCTCCACTCATCTGCCATCTTTTCACCCTCATCTCCACTCCACCACCACTGAAGGGGAGGTGATTACCCACAAGTGTGAACACCTGGAGGCAGGGACCATGGGAGCCACTCTAGAGTCCGCCTGGTGCAGAATACATAGAGGATTCCTATGACCGACTGACAGAGGAGAAAAAGGCTAAGCCTGGTTCATGGATGGGCCGTTGGTCCGTAGGTATCAGACAAAAATGGGCAGCTGCTGTGCTACCAGCTTCACTTAAGGGTAGACCTCAGGGACAGCAGTGAAGGAATGTCCTCCTAATGGACAGAGCATCACACAGTGCATCTATTGATACACTTTGTGAAGGCAGAGAAGGGGCCTGAGGCAAAGACATACAGAAGACTTATGGGCAGAGTGAGTAACTTGGCCAGTTGGTCAGGGACTTGAAAGGAGGAAGATTGGAAGATCAGGGATGAAGGTGTCTGGGGAAGAGGTGCGTGGCAAGTGTACTAAGGCAGCGGGAATGGAATGTGAACATCTTTGTAACATGTTAACACCCAGCAGATAGCATTTCCTATGAAGGAGACACTCATCAAGCAATGAAACAGAATGACTTTTCCAGTTATTCTCAGCCACCTTCTTCCCTCAGCTGCCCTAGTGTTGGCATAATAAGTTCATGAACACGGTAGTCATGGTGGCAAAGATGGACACTATACATGAATCCAACAGCATGAATTGTTATAGCTACTGCACTACTGATAGTCTAACCTGGGACAAAAGGTTAGACTGTATATGTTAGAACTGTCACTGCTAGCCAGACACGGTGGCTCATACCTGCAATCCCAGAACTTTGAGAGGCCGAGGTGGGTGGATCACTTGAGGTCAGGAGTTTGAGACCAGCCTGGCCAACATGGTGAAACCCCATCTCTACTAAAAATACAAAAATATGGTCAGGTGCAATGGTTCACGCCTGTAATCCCAGCACTTTGGAAGGCTGAGGTGGGTGGGTCACCTGAGGTTGGGTGTTCGAGACCAGCCTGACCAACATACAGAAACCCCTTCCCTACTAAAATTACAAAATTAGCCGAGTATGGTGGCAGACCCCTGTAATCCCAGCTACTCGGGAGGCTGAGGCAGGAGAATCACTTGAACCTGGGAAGCAAAGGTTGCAGTGAGCTGAGATCGTGTCATTGCACTCCAGCCTGGGCAACAAGAGTGAAACTCCGTCTCAAAAAAGAAAAAAAAAAAATTAGCTGGGCATGGTAGCACACGCCTGTAATCCCAGCCACTGGGGAAGCTGAGGCAAGAGAATTACCTGAACCCAGGAGACGGACGTCACAGTGAGCCGAGATCACGCCACTGAACTCTAGCCTGGGCGACAGAGCATCTCAAAAAAAAAAAAAAAAAAAAAACCTTTCACTGCTGAAAATTGTAACATATACGGAAGCCAGTGATGAGCACTCCTCTCCCTCTGTGGCATCACCCCTCAACGAGATCAACCAACCTTTTCCACAGAGAAAGAAAAATTTAGTTGTTTCCTCCGAAAACAAAATTATGCTCTCCAGATTGTTTTAAAAAATCCTCACTTCCTAGTGTTTCTCAAATAATGGTTTAGGGCCACCACAACAGGACACTTCCGGGGCTTGTTACAAGTGCAGATTTCCAGTTCCCGCCTAGACAAAATGAATCAGAATCTGATCTCTTATAGCAGCACAAAATGGACTAAGAGAGTGGCCTTTCACAACGCTATTCAATATTCTAACTAAATTTCTCCCAGAAAACAATTCGGTTGTTACGAGATAGAAAATGAAAATATAAGTTAGGTGTAGGCAAATGGAAAAATCACCTTACATATCAGTAGGTGTGTTGAAAAATCACCTTACATATCAGTAGGTGTGTTGAAAAATCACCTTACCATATCAGTAGGTGATATGCTTGCATTGCCATAAAGAAATAGCTGAGATGGGCCGGGCGCGGTGGCTCAAGCCTGTAATCCCAGCACTTTGGGAGGCCGAGACGGGCGGATCACGAGGTCAGGAGATCGAGACCATTCTGGCTAACACAGTGAAACCCCGTCTCTACTAAAAATACAAAAACTTAGCCGGGCGAGGTGGCAGGCGCCTGTAGTCCCAGCTACTCGGGAGGCTGAGGCAGGAGAATGGCGTAAACCCGGAAGGCGGAGCTTGCAGTGAGCTGAGATCCGGCCACTGCACTCCAGCCTGGGTGACAGAGCGAGACTCCGTCTCAAAAAAAAAAAAAAAAAAAGAAATAGCTGAGATGGAGTAATTTATAAAGAAAAGAGGTGAACTGCCTCACAGTTCTGCAGGCTATACAGGAAGCATGGCACCAGGATTTGTTTCACTTCTGGGGAAGCCTCAGGGAGCTTTTACTCATGGCAGAAGGCAAAGGGAAAGCTGGCATCTCACGTGGTGAAAGCAGCAGCAAGGGGATTGGGTTGGGGGGGGAGGTGCCACACAACTAGATTTTATGAGAACTCACTCGCTATTGTAAAGACAGCACCAAGCCAGGAGGAATCTGCCCCCATGACCCAGACACTTCCGGCCTGGCCCCACCTCCGACGCTGGGGATTACATTTCAACATCAGATGTGGGCAGGGACCAATGTCCAAACTGTATCAGTTGCACAAATCCACTGTTCCGTTACCAACACAGAACCTCATTTACAGGGTCCCATGTGAGCCTGGCATTGTGCTCTAGGTTGTGGGTAGAAATCAACAGCATGACGTTTAGATGAAGAGGAAAATAAAAATCGATACATGGTAGTCCCCCATTATCTGTGGGGGATGTGTTCCAAGACCCTCAGTGGATGCTGAAACCATGGCTAGTACTGAACGCTGCATATGCTGTGTTGTTTCCTATACATACATACCTCTGATAAAGTGTAATTTAGAAATTAGGCACAGTAACAGATTAACAACAACAATAAAACAGAACAATCATAACCACATCCTGTAATAAAAGTTCTGTGAATGTGGCCTCTCTCTCAAAATATCTTTACTGTACTGTCCAGTTAATATTTTTTGTTTGTTTGTTTTGAGATGGAGTTTCGCTCTGTTGCCCAGGCTGGAGTGCAATGGCGCGACCTTGGCTCACTGCAACCTCTACCTCCTGGTTTCAAGAAATTCTCCTGCCTCAGCCTCCCTAGAAGCTGGAATTACAGGTGTGCACTATCACACCAGGCTAATTTTTGTATTTTTAGTAGAAATGGGGTTTCACCATGTTGGCCAGGCTGGTCTTGAACTCCTGACCTCAGATGATCCACCCGCTTCGGCCTCCCAAAGTGCTGGAATTACAGGCATGAGCCACTGCCTGTAATTTAATATTTTTGAACTGCAGTTCACTGAGGGTAATTAAATCTGCAGAAAGTGAACTGCGGATAAGAGGGGGCTACTGCACATAAATCATTATAACTAAAAGGCCCAGAGGTATTGTCCCAGTCCCTTTCTTTTACAGAAGTGCAGACAGGGTGTCAACTTCATACAACTTGTTGACAGCAGAGCTGAGTCTCCTGTGCCTGGTGCACTAGCAGGGTCTGATGATATGTCATGGTGAGTGATGCAAACAGCGAGGGCTCTGAGAACTCAGCCAGGATCCACAGTGGATGGTGAGGGAGCAGGAGCCAGTGCCTAAAAGGGGATGAGACTCTAGGAACAGAATGCAGACTCAGGGGTATCCAGGCAATGGTGGGAGGGTGGTGTCCAAGATTCCAAGATCAGAAATACTGGGAATAGCAGTACCTCACATCTGTCTAGCACTTTACAAAGCTCTAACATATAAATATTATCACCTCAGTTCATTCTTACACCACCCTACAATACCTATTAACCTTTGGGAATTGTTAAGCATAATAATCCTATCACTGGGCAAAGCATACAGGGACCTCAGGGCCATGGGTGAGAAGAAGGACACTGGGAGCCAATGAGGGGTGTAGAGAGAGGGCCTCTCGGAGACAACCAGGCAGAAGAGGACATTGTACCAGGTGTGTGGAGTCAGCTAGGGCTTGGGCAGGGAAGAGAAGAGTGTCACTGATGGGTGAGACACAGCAGCACAAGAAGTCGAGGAGAGAGGCAGGCACTGAGGTTTGGGACAAGCTCCTCAGCTGTGGCATGACTACCTGTGATCAGGAGGTGCAGGGAGACGGCAGGGAAAGGTCAGGCCTCACCCAGAAGAGTGCAGGGGCAGGCAGCAGAGAGAGTGGGAAACAAGGCAAAGCCCCAGTCCTGGCAGAAATCAAGGCCACTGTCCCATCCTAGCAACTGGGCAACACATGCCAGTCACATCGGTAGTAAAAGGTGGGCCCAGGAACCTTGAAAATCACAGAGCTGCCTCGAAATGAGCACATTCAGTGATGATCTGGAGCCCAGTCTGGGAGAGTCAGGGATAGGGTGGATGGAAATAAGACTGGGGGCAGGTAGGCCTCAAATATTGGGCTGAAGGGTTTGGCTTTTGTGCTGTTGCAGGCAATGCGGAGCCCCTAGAGGCTGAGCTCACACATGGCTTTCTTTGTAGACCTGAGACAACACACGAAAACGCGAACAAAGAATATGATCACTGTCCTGGGGATGTGTGAGTTTTCCTCCACAAACTTACATGGTTTGGGCTCATCTCTGTTCCCTTTGCAACACAGAAGATTGGCGAATTTGGTGGGCATACTGATACTGCCTAACTCAATATTAACGGAACTGGCTGTTAAAACTTGGTTGGCCCCTCATCAAGGCATGCAGGGAACTCACCAGGATGGGCTGGAGAAGTGGGAGAGGATGCCAGAACCAAGTGAGCCAGGGACTGAAGCAACTTTTTCTGAATGTATGAAAGAGAAAAGAAGACCAAATATATACATGTAAATACGTGGTAACAGCATTTTATGTGTGGTGGCCTAATTCCTTTAATACTTGCTTACTCAAATAGGTGTATATATAAAATAAGTTAAAATTGTTTTCCATTTCAGTGCTGATTTTTTCCTTTCAACCTGAAATAAGTCTTTGTGTGAAACATGCAAAAATTGCTGGCTTGGGTAGACAGTACACACACACACACACACACACACATACACACACACACACATTTTAGAGACAGGGTCTTACTCTGTTGCCCAGTGCAGTGATACAATCATAGTGTATTACAGCCTCGAACTCCTGAGCTCAGGCAACCCTCCTGCCTCAGCAAAATGTTTTGAGAGTTCAAGCAGATTACTGATTTTCTAAGCTTACTACAAGGTATTTTTAAATTTTTTTTAATTTAAGTTTTTTTCTTTTTGAGAAACGGTCTCACTCTGACACCCAGGCTGGAGTGCAGTGGTGCAATCTCGGGTCACTGCAAGCTCAGCCTCACTGCAAGCTCAGCCTCCCAGTTTCATGCCATTCTCCTTCCTCAGCCTCCCGAGTAGCTGGGACTACAGGCGCCCGCCACCACGCCCAGCTAATTTTTTGTATTTTTTAGAAGAGACGGGGTTTCACTGTGTTAGCCAGGATGGTCTCGTTCTCCTGACCTCCTGATCCGCCCGCCTGGGCCTCCCAAAGTGCTGGGATTACAGGCATGAGCCACCCCGTGGACCACGAAGTTTCCTTAAGGCAACTCCAGCTCTTTCAGTCAAAATGAAATGGTCCTGAAATTTGCATATGCAATGTTTACCTTTCTTTTTCATTAAACGAGAGAGGGAACCAAAACAAAAATACAGTTTGACCATTTAAAATGTTGGGAGAAGAGCTGCTGCCTTGCTAGCACTATCTAGAGTGGCTCCATTCTGCCATCTAGTGGAAGGGAAAAGACAAATTTAGACCAAAATACTTCCATCTTTAATTTACAAAAAAGTGTGTTCTTTTGTTTTTTGTGTTTTAAAGTTGGGGTCTTGCTCTGTTACCTAGGCTGGAGTGCAAGCAGTGTGGTCATAGCTCAACAGCCTGGAGCTCCTGGGCTGAAGTGATCCTCCCACTTCAACCTTCCAGTCACTGGGATTACAGGCATGAACCGCAGCAGCAGGCTGTGTTTTCTGATTAGCATAATTTAAATTATCTACTAAATTTGCTTGTTAATAGATTCACTTTGTAAAGAAAAAACCACACAGTATTCTAAACACTAAGCACTGAAACTAAATTTTCCAAAATATTTATATTTATAAACTATGAATTTCAAAGATCTGCGGAGGAAAGAGAGAACGTTCTTGAGTTCTTATTATCATAATTTTCCTGCCCCTCCCTTTCCCGCTTATATGATCCATTTCTCCACATACTCTTTATGCTTATTTTGGCACATAGCCTGGGAGTAGCCCAAAGTCCCTGAGGATTATGTCTTTCCCAAAATACTGAGCAAAATCAGTGGAGGAATAAGATCATTCCATTCATTTTTCAAAAACGTACACTCACTTGAAATGCTGATGTATCCAGGTGCGGTGACTCAAGCCTGTAATCCCAGCACTTTGGGAGGCTGAGGCAGGTGGATCACAAGGTCAAGAGATTGAGACTACCCTGGCTAACATGGTGAAACCCTGTCTCTACTAAAAATACAAAAATTAGCTGGGCATGGTGGTGCATGCCTGTAGTCCCAGCTACTCAGGAGGCTGAAGCAAGAGAATTGCTTGAACCGGGGAGGCGGAGGTTGCTGTGAGCTGAGATCGTGCCACTGCACTCCAGTCTGGTGACACAGTGAGACTTCGTCTCAACAAAAAAGTTTATGTAACCAAGGCATTTGTTCAGGCCTGTGTGCTTGAATTCATTTTTTGCTGGTGTATGTATGCATGTGTTTCCTTTGTTTTGATTTCCGTGGACATTATCTGGGTATTTGTGATGATTTCCATTGTCTAGGATGAAGACATTGGCAGCCAAAACTCCCTGAAAAGTTAATAACAGCAGCATACCTGAAGTGACTGGTTTTATTCTGAGGCTGTTACTCTTTTTTTGAAACAGAGTCTTGCTCTGTCACCCAGGCTGAGTGTGATGACATGATTTTGGCTCACTGCAGCCTCGACGTCCCAGGCTCAAGCAATCCTCCTGGCTCGGCCTCCCAATGTGCTAGGATTACAGCATGGGCCACCATACCCAGCTAATTTTTAAAGTTTTTTTAGACACGAGGTCTCCCTATGTTACCCAGGCTGGTCTCAAACTCCTGGGCTCAAGAGATCCTCTTGCCTTGACCTCCCAAAGTGTTAGGATTACAGGTGTGAGCCAACATACCTGGCTGGTTATTACTCTTATTACTGGCAAATGTTATTTATTGAGCTTCTATGGTGTACCAGACCTGGTGTTTTTTTGTTTTTCTTTTTTTCCCAAGATGGAGTCTCGCTCTATCTCCCAGACTGGAGTGCAACAGCACGATCTCGGCTCATTGCAACCTCCACCTCCCAGGTTCAAGCGATTCTCCTGTCTCAGCTTCCCAAGTAGCTAGATTTATAGGTTCCCACCACTGCGCCCAGCTAATTTTTGTATTTTTTTAGTAGACACAGGGTTTCACCATGTTGGCCAGGCTGGTCTTGAACTCCTAACCTCTGGTGATCCATTTGCCTCAGCCTCCCAAGGCTGGGATTACAGGCGTGAGCCACCCTGCCCAGGCCAGACCCTGTTCTTGGTGTACATTTTGCTAATCCTTCCACCAAATCTCCAAAGTAGATATCATTGTCTTCACTTTAGATTTAAAAAAACAGATGCTTATGACCACCTACTAGCAAATCTTGATGCACCAGGGCCTGGTGGGGATAATCATTGACTGTCTGGCTGACCATTATGAGTCACAATTTCCATTCCTGCAAAATGGAGAATTTTTTGACTTAGGGGTGGGGTGTTCGCTAAGCTTTCTGCCTGATTCTAATTCTTCTGCTAGAAGCTGTGGGTTTACAGAGGTGGAAAAGATAGTCCTTCCACCAAACATATATTCTATTATATATATCTTATCTGTATTATATATTCTATTATATATCCCTTCCACCAAAAATATGTTCTTTTATATTAATAGAATATAAATCCAGGGTCCAATGGAAAAGACTTAAGGGCAGACACAGAATGGGATGTAGTTTATGTTAGGAGAAGCCTGAAGGGACATCATGGCAGGCATTTGTGTGACCTCCCACAAAACACCCTCCTCCACTCTGTCCTCACTTACTCTGTTCTTCCTTCCCTTTGTCCTTATTATTTCCTTTCTGCTTCTCTTTCTTTTCTGTCTTCCTCTGTCCTGCCCTAGAACGATGCCTTTCTAATTGTGGGTTATAACACATTATTAGTAGGTCATAAAATCAATTCAGTGGATGTAGACTAGCATTTTAAAAAGTGAATAGAATATAAACTCATTAAAAGGCATCACTCATACTCAGGATAATACTGTTGTGTAAAATTTGTTTTAATATGTGTGTCAGCATGTGTACACTGTGTCAAGATGTAACACTTATATCCTATTTCAAGACCCTGCTGTAGACTAAACAAGGACCCCCATGGTGCTCCAGGCATCCCCACCCTCACCTGTGGCACCAGGAGCTACTGCTGTCACTGGCCCAGCTGGGTCCTGTGTCTTTCTCTGTGTTGTCAGGGCCTGCGCTGACAGTCCACCCACAGGGAGGTGGAATCTGGGGCTTGACAGTGCTGGGAGGATCCTTCAGGCTCAGGCAAATCCTCACCTGGAGGCAGAGAATGGACTAGATGACCCCTGAAACAGTCCAGTTCAGCATGTGAGAGCTCCTCTGGGTCCAGCCCTGTGCCACTTTCCCGCAGGGCCTTGGGGAGAGCAGAGAAAGCAGCTGCCGGCTCCAGGCAGTTATTTTACCCCAGGTGCCACTTACCCTGCAGAGGGGCTGGAACCAGATAATCATTTTACCCCAGGAGCAACTTACCCTACAGAGTGGCTGGAACTTCTCAGGTTTTTCAGTTCCTGTGTTACCTCCCAGCCCTTCCCATCACATGCTGTGGGTGTCCATGGCTGACGAAGGCCCCTGAGCCAGGCCAACCCCCCCGCCTCCCAGTGGGTGGCTCTGTGGTCCCTGGCAGCCCCAGCATCATCTGCGGCACAGAGGCCATGGACACTCAGGGGATGGTCAAGGACGCAGCTCCTTCCGTTCCTCCCTCACAGAGCTTTCAACAAGATAGATGGTCATTCTTCTGTCCTCACTGTTTGCTCCTGGCATAAGGGGACCCCAGGGCTGGATGACTTCCCTAAAGAGGAATCTCTCGGGGTCCCGCAGATGCTGCCAAGTCCTGTCTGGAGGATGAAGGCGGGGGGCACATCGCTGACGCAGTTTCTCCTCTGCCCTCCACCCCTTGCCCCTCCTGAGGTCCTGGACTAGGAACTCAGCCAGGACTTGCTTCAACCTGACAGGATGGTGTCCAGCCCCCTTGGAGCCTGCCAGCGTCCGGCGGGATTTCAGAGGGACCTCCAGGGAGGCGCTGCCCAATTGCCCCCCGTGTTGCTCACACAGCCCCCACTGATCTACTCTGGGGAGGGCTCGGGGCCCAGAACACGGCTTCCAGGGGGGCCTGGGGCAGCAGGCCGGGAGATATCACTTGTTCACCGCCTGCTCACCCAGATAACTGCAGCTTCCTCCACTGCCGCCTATCACCCTCCGGCCATGCCTGTGCCCAGAATGCCCTCCCTCTCCAGTTCTGCCCGCCCCTCAAGGCCTGCCCAAATCTCCCTGAATTCTCGCCTGAGCAGACACTCTCCTGCACGATTCCCGCCGCGTGGATGACTCAGTTGAGCCTCAGTCTGGGGCTGCCCTGTGCTGGCACCTTTATGCAGATGCTCGGCTCCCTACCCTGGCCTGTGAGCCTTGTAGTGCAGAAACTGCATCTCACTCAGAGCGAGAGTAAAGAGCAGGGGTGCTGGAGAAGCCAGCTGCCCTGCCACAGGCCAAGAGGACTTGGTCAAGTGACCATTGCTGTCTGTTTCCCCAACTGTAAAGGGGGCTGAGACCCTTACAGGGTTGTGAGGCTTAAAGTCTGACAAACACCTACCATCCCACCAGGCACAGGGCAGTCGCTGAGTATTTGGCGGTGGCCGCTGTTCCCCACAGTCTCCAACATCGCCCGGGGATGTAACAGGTGCACCACGGACAAGACTGATGGGTTTATCAGTTCACTGGGGAGAGAGGCAGGATGGATGCACTTGCTTGTTCCTCTGATTTTCCCTTATGCGGAGCAGTGACACTTGGCAAAGGCTGCCAGGGAGATGGGAAATTGACATTAATTACGGGAAAGTGAAGCAAGAAGAGGAAGAGGGTGAGAAAGAGACAGGGGAGGAAGAAAGGAAGGAGGCATGGTTAGAAGACTGGCAAGCAATAAAGACGACTGTTTTCTTGGAGGAACAAGGACGTAGGGCCATGAACAGCAAGTGGACGCTTCTTCTCAGTGAATTATGGCATTTCAGCGCTGGAATAAGCCTGAAAAATCACAGATCCCCTTCACAGACCAGGGACGTACAGGCCCTGGGAGAGCAGGAGTTAGAGAGGACCGTGCCTGCAACAGGCACTGCCTGCTACACCCTGCCACGGGCAGAGGGGCTGTGCTCCCACCCCACAGAGGCCCCATCCTTCCCTTTCTCTCCCCAAGGCTGCTCCAGCAGGGAGTTTAGCTCCATGGACACCTTTGAAGGTTATGAGGGTGCAGAAGACATGGAAAAGGTGAGCAGCGCTCTGAATGTAATTTCTTTCTTGTTTCTTTCATCTTCTTCCTCCTTCCTACTCATCATCTCCTCCTGCCTCCTGTCCCTCTCCCCCAACCCCTCTCCCCCTCCTCAGGATTCTCCCCCAGAAGGACCTGGCTAAGCCAGGGAGCCGAGGTCACAAGTCCTCAAAGTGGCTCTGACCCTGCTAGCCCGGCGTGTCCCCAAGTGGCTGTCTCCTTGGCGGTGCGCTGGTGTCCGGTCATAACTGGGGTTCCCGCCTGGAGCCCCGTGGCGCAGGTGGGAGGGTTGGGGGGGCTGCAGCCTGCCAGCGGGAGTCACCACCTTGCCCGGCCTGGCCACAGCCTCCAGCAGTAACTCTGAGGGTGCCCTCGTCCCCTCCCTTCCAGCTCGCGGGGCCTTTTCCAGTCTGATGACAGTCACGAAACCTGTTCCTCCAAATCCGCTTTCCTGGAGAGGGGAGAAAGAACGCAGGGAGAAAAAGAAGAACGCGATGAGGAGGAAACGTGAGTGTGAGCGAGGAAAGACTAAGCGCCTCTGTGGGCCACCGCGTCTCTGACCTTCCTCGCGGAACTGCAGGACGACCGGCAGCACCGAGAAGGAGCGCGCTGGGGCGTCCACGGGCCGGCTGGCTCCTGCGGGGGCGACGGCTGGTTTCCAGGCGAGGGCGCTGCGCCGGAGGACCTCCGCCCCGGAGAGCTGATCTCCTTGCGGACGCCCCCGCTCCTCGGCTCCAGAGCGCCCGCATTCCCGGGAGAGGCGGTGTGGGGGCCCGGGGCCTGCCCAGCTACGCAGAAAGCAGCCGGCGCCGCGGCGGTGGCAGAAAGGGGATGCCCAGGGCCACCTCGCGGGAGCCCGAGCGGTGCGTCGGGTGCTTGTCTAGCTCCGGCCTGCAGAGCCCACTCTTCCCCCGCCCACCCCCCAGCGAAGGACCTCGCGGGACCGGGACCCCCAGTGCGCCTGCGCGAGCGCGGCGGGCGGGGCAGACGCTCGCGGAGGCCACGCCTCCTAGGGCTCGGCCGAGCCTAGGAGGAGCCGGAGCTGGCTCGGGGCTGCTCCCACCCGCCAGCGCCGGGGCCCAGCCTCGCAGTGTACCGGGTGCGCAAGCCACTTAGCACCTGACAGGTTAATTCAAAGGGGGTAGTTCCAAGGTAACTGCTGAGAGATTTACGTTTAGATTTGTTAGTTTAAAAATTAGTTTTCCAGTTGTTTATTTTTTTGAGACAGTCTCTACCTGTCGCCCAGGCTGGAGTGCCCTGTCATGATCTTGGTTCACTGCAACCTCCTCCTCACATGTTCACGCAATTCTCCTGCCTCAGCCTCCCGAGAAGCTGGGATTACAGGCATGTGCCACCACACCCGGCTGATTTTTGTATTTTTAGTAGAGTCA